TTGTATGAATAAAAACTTGAATAATAATCATATTAATATTTACATTAACCAAAAGTAGTACTAACTTAAAAATAAAAGTAAAGAAAATATAAAAATTTAATAAACCAATAGCCATGTTTATTAACGTTTATTTTGATGCATATTTCAGAGATAAACTCTCCGCACCTACGTTTAAATTCATACTTCGAATTTTTTTTTTTGTGTTTTAAAGTCTTTGTTGTGTTGTATGACTATTGCAGACTGCTTTTAATTTTAACACACGTTTCGGTCTGTACATATTTTAAAACTTTCGAGAACAAATGGAGATTTCGATGATGATGATGATAAAAACTACTATTATATCTCAAATGAAAAGATTCACATTCATTAATAATCTCATGAGAAGGCCCCTCAATTTTGAAGGAAATACTGAATATGAACTATAAATAATTGGCCAACAGTGCATTAGTAGGAGTTTACCATTCCCCAATTTTATAGACCCATGATCTTTGTAACGAAATAAACGTGTACTTGGGAATATCTTACACATATTTTAATTTTATCTCTAATTTCCTTACAACTATCATGGGCCTATTGAACTGACTTGTTCATTTAGCAGTTTATGGTGGATATATTGAACTATAGGGTTGACGGTTTTTTGCTGAAATACCACCGAAACAGTATACCGTAAACCGGTACACACCGTGACACCGGCGCATACCGAAACCCGTAATACCGTGGGACGACGGTTTTTTGTTACACCGCTTCTTGCTGAAATGAATGTTAATTAAAATAAATAAATATTGCTTAAAGTAGTAATGAGGAGGCTTCACTCGGATCTAATACCGGTTTCCGATTTCAATGCCGTCAACCCTAAATTGAACAATAATATTAAGACAAATAACAAACATAATATACAATTTTAACGAATATAAAATGTTCTTTATTTTCCATTCAATTAGTATTAGTTATGATTTTAGTTTAAACTCCTACACAATATTTTGTCACTGTGTATTTTTGGTATTTTTTAAATGACATATGAACAACTTATGAGGAACCTTGGATTCAATTTTCAAACTTTTTGAACCACCAAACATTGAATTAATTCTGCATGTAAATCTACTGTAAGTATTATTAATAGTAAAATAAATTACTTTAATAGAAATAATATCACAAAATAAACATATATATGTATAAGTACTATGTATGAAATATGAATGTAGAATACCTATATATGTATGTTTTTTAATTTAATCTTTATTATCTAATTAACTATTGATTACGGTTCTATACCTATTATTAAATACAAATGCATGCGATATGAATAATCAATGATATTAAATATTGGTGATACTTAAGGCACGGAAGTGTTATTTATTTGTTTTAAATCTATGTTATATACTTATGTGATTTATATATTAAAATAATTATACCCTTATGACCTAACCTACAATAATATCTTAAAAATTAAAAATTACTTTCATATAAATGATTGTTATAAATAGCTAAAAAATCAAATTATTTTGAAATTTTAATAATGTATAGAAAATGTTATTATAAACATCCGGTAAAATATAACGGTTTTAGTTTTTTAGTTACTTCAAAAAACTTAATCAATTTTGTCAAATACGTGTTTTGGGTAAAAATCCCTGTTTTTCCTTAAATGTTTTTTTAAATTTATATATATATGTTATGTCAATATAAACTATGTCTCCGAGTCTCCGTATTCCTTAGTTTTAACTCATCATTCTTCACAAAAAAATAAACATTTTTTAATTATATTGCAGTGTAGTGTACTACATGGTAGAGTTGTGCAAAATTTAATCTAGATAATTATTTGAATAAAATATTAATCTAAATAAAATTGCATTCCAATACCGCCCTAATTTGTTATGGCGCTCCTCTCTACTATCGGGTTTTTACAGAAAATTATGTAAGGTAGTCAATATTTCTCCAAAAACCTAATTAAGACGTAATTTTCATGGCCCGGTCGGCTAGTAAGAGCCAGATTAAAAATAAATTCAAAAAGTGATAAAAATAATTTTATATTTTTCCAACCACTCTGGAGTCTGGATGAGGAACACGCTGTAAACATCAGAAAATATTTTTATAATAAAAGGTTATACATGGAATTTAATACCAAGTAACAATAATAATATTATAGTATACATAATATTATGATATATTATTCACGATCGACGACGTCGCAATTTCGGAAAAAGAGTAAACAAAAATAAAAACCATTTATTAAATTTATATCCAGATGAAATATGTATATTTATATAATATATTGATAATTAAATATGTTATTAATTATTATTATATGGGTACCAATATCCATAACTATTTTATATTTACGTATACGGACATACGGTGTATTGGTGTAACGTATATAATGTTTTAAGTTATAACCCTTGATTTATTAATATTCTTAGGCATTTATTGCGGATGTATTATGTAGGTTTAAAACTTTTAACTTAAACTATTCCGTATTTTCGTTTATATAGAAAAAAATAACATTTCTTTAAAATCTTAATGTGGATGTGATTTGTAGGGGGGCGCATTGTTCATCTGCTTAGTTGCGTGGTGGGCCAGTACTCAGTAATCATTACCCTATATATTATATTATAGTCGGTACTCGGTAAGCAATGTTGTCATCCTGTAGATTAAAATATAGTAATAACCAGAATACATTTGTATTTAGTGCTGAGGTAACGCATTCTTAATTCGTATTAAAACTGACATAGTAATTCATGGTATGTAAACGCAGACACGCATAATAGTATAGTCACATGATACTACTGGGTACTGATTTAACGTAATGCATGTTTCTATCGTATGTTTTCGTTTTATTTTTTTATCGTGACACCTAGACACCCGGGAGTAGTGTGTAGTGCGCGTCAGTAGTGTTGTGTTCGATTTGTGCTTGCATATAGGAATATAATTGTACAACAGTAAAATTATAAAATATCACAGTAATTTTTAATTGTATTATACAGTGTGTGGTCGTGCAGGGCTTTATAACCGAAAGTGGATAAAAAATCTTTAAAAATAAAATAACTAACCAATGCTTAAGATTGTGAAATATTTGATGTAAGTACCCAACAAGTACATACAAAACATATTTTAAACATTTTTGACCCTGAAAAATTAAATTGATTACGCTGCTTGATGAATGACAGACATATAATATATTAATGATTAGAAATATATTGTCATGTCTGTAGACAAGCAGCTGTTATAGACGTTACAGTACCTACTTATATACAATCTTGTGACGAAGCAAACTAAATATGGCGTCAAATTCAGTACTTATTATAGACTATTATTTATTATTTATATTACTAGTCTGATATCTGCATTTATTAGTAAAAGAGTTTTTTAGTTATGTTAGGGTTGCTGCAGATAGTACTCCGTTCACAGATCAAAAGTATAAATATTTAAATTTTAATATTTTGTAAACATTTGTGGACTTGACAGGTATATACTGTGATTCTTTAGTTTTGCTGTAGAATTTTCTTACCTAATTAAGTAAAAACTGAATATTGTCTTGTTCATCATACATAAATTAATTTAATTAACAATAAATCTTTTATACTCTTTTAATAAATCATCCCAAGTCTCTATAGAATAATTTGATATGTACTTTAAAAGTTTAAAATAATTAAATTAATATTTTTATAGTTACAATTTGATGTCAGGCTTTTCATATTTAATTGGAAAATTGAAATCAAAAATTTAAATAAATTGACATAAAATATCAATACCTAACAATTTATTGAATATAAAATCTAATAACTGTATTAGTTATTAGGGTAGTAAGTTGAAATGGTTGAATAGTTTTCAAACTGAATAAAATAAAAACATATTTTTTACCAAATATTAAATAGTTTTGTAAAATATTGAATTAAACTCATTAAATTACCATACAAAGCAGTCCCTAAAATTGTGTGTAGTACAAAATTTAAAAATGTGTTATTCAAATTAAACGTTTATTGTAATATGTACAATTTTATAGCTTAACATTTTTTTTATGTTTTGATTGTTTTTTTTCCAAACCACATTTTAACTATCTACATTCTGCACAGACACACAGCAAACAATATTTTATGCTGTTATGTGCTATACTCTTATTATAGTTGTTATTATTTATTTATTTATTGTTATTGAGAGCAGCTATTTTTATTTTTATCAGTTTTGTTGGTAGTGAACGGTGATACTGTGATAGACAGTAGTATACTAGTGTTTATCTAGAATTAACCCGCATACAACACAACAATAATTCATTTTTAATTTAGATTTTACCGATTTGGAACTATGTGTGTAGTATAAAAATTTGGATATTTTAGGGACTGATACAAAGTATAGTAGTTACAATACCTAACTAATAGTAGACTTATACCAGATAATTTATTTGATGATATCTTCTTCTCCGGGAGTTTTATTGTGGCTTTATTTTAAAATTCACCAAAATTAGAAATTAAGATTCCCCTAGTTCATTAATGAAAAAATTAATATACCTAATACATCAATATTAAAATAAAATGGATATAGGCTATTGAGGCGATAAATTTGTTATTTAAGTCTGTATTAATTTAGCATGTGACCTTGCTGTATTGGGTGTTGGTTCAACATTGTTAGTCAAATTAAAAATCAAAAAATTGTATAAGATATAATATGAATTACATTTCATTCGGTAAAAATCAATCAAATAAAATTGTATGTTATTCTATGAAAATAACATGTGTTTCTTAACACAGTACACTTCCTACCACCTAATAAAATATAAAATGAACAACACAATACATATAATATATATATATATATAATATATATTATTACATTGATCTTGTGTATTTACTTGACTAAATGCCCCATACTTCACTGACCTCCAAGTTAACTTCCATAATATTATATGAATAAAAAAATAATTGAATATTTTCAGTATTAATTATTTATGTATAAATATTAACAAATAATTAATTTAACTTTTATATTTTTTAATACTCATAACAACATGTATTGTACTGATCAAATTAAGTGTACCTGTTACATATTATTACTAGGTAAGTATTATATATTATAAAGGAACATCTTTGTCAATTCATAGAACAATACACATTTCAATACAATTATTATTCGTAGGAAGGTAAAAAATGTCTAGTTATTTATGAATTATTACTGAAAAAAAAGAATTACTTTAAAATTTGGGGAGAGATATATAGCTCATTCATCTTAGGATGATAATAATGCTATTGAGGCGCTCATATCAAGCGTTTGAATTTCAAACCACATCCCTCTTATAATCTCTTTATATTTCAATAAGAAAATCATAAACACTAAAATGCATACAATCATTGAATCATACATGATTAACTAATAAGTGTCATATACCTACTCAATCCCATCCACAACATGCACTCATAGTTTATACACACAATTAATATAGAATCAAATGCAATATTCTCAGTTCTCACATGCTCTAGTAGTCTAGTACACACAAACAAGTACAGTGTAAATAAACAAGCTTCAAACACAAAATACAAATGAAAGAAAATGCCTTAAACGAAATTATATTTTAGATACTAACACAGTAAGCCGGCAGAGCCACAACAAATCTCGACATAAAAAGTCTTCAGACCTGCTCTCCGATCTACACATTTAGTTTGCATTCGATATTATACATTTAAAACTTTTAGTCAACTAAGCATTTTTAGTTGAACTATTTTTAATATGGAAATTGGTATTATATTGAAAAAATTATAAATTAATTATTATCTCAGCCTATTTGTGTCATTGGCAATAAAAAAAGGCTTACATACGAATTTAAGGAGCTATACTGTTAATTCTACTTTAAATTTTAATGTACTATTCGTAAGGCCCATCAATATATATTACACAACTTGTAGTTGCTAAAAAAATTAACTGTTAGTTAATCGTGCGATGCTAAAATTATGCATAAAACTATTTCTTTTTTCCATATAGATACAAGTTAAATAATATTTTAAATCACGATTGTTTCGCTACTCTATAATGATGTTTTGAATAAAGTGCAATAAGTACTTATCATTAACCTGTAAATTGTTAATGTTTATCGCATATTGTACCCACAGATCGAGGATAGGGGTTGCAAATGCTGCAGTAGATAATTGATTCACGAATCAATTAGATTAAAGAATGTTGAAAAATGCCGTTACTTACATTTCAAATACAGTACTGCCACTACGACATTACGAATTACTGCGACTACATTTTGGAACCCCTACCTAGGTACCTCACCATCAACTTTGAGTTGACGAATGCGTTCCTTGATTAAAACACATGCTCACATTGGCTAGACGGAACCACCTCCATGTGTTTTGCGCCGGAACAACGATTTTTGCAATTCCACATTCTACGGAAGCGAAAGGCGTTTACTTAATTTTATATTTTTCTCGTCCGTTCGGCGTTTGTTGATACTCAACATTTCCGTTATTACAGTTCTCCGAGATGAAGAACGTCTATGGAATCCTCCTGCTGTGCATCCACCTCGGTGAGTACCACTTTATCTACTACTTGTTCTATGCACTTAACCAGGCCGCGCATGGAGAACCTTGACCACGTCCCATTGAACGTATGTTGTTGAGGTGACGTTTAAGTCAGATATGTGGATGGTCTAAATCCATATCCGTTTTCGACTGATAATGTTTAAGCTGTCATACAACCGACTACGGTTACGGTCTGTGCATGAACATGTTTTGCTTGCTTTGTCAAATCTGGATGAGATCTTTTCTTTGAAACTATTGTCATACTGAGCAAGTAACAACAAGAATGATGTGACCATTGCTAAATAACAATTTTTTAGCCATTAGTTCAACTGACCGACTTGATTGTACGGTACAAGACAGTATGTTGATTACTGTATACACTTAGGTTGCATATTTTGAAGTCTTATTTCTCTTCTGGCTGTTAGGCAACTACCAAAAAATACTATAGGTAGGTTACACTTACAACTAACATATTATATAGTGTTTGCTGTAACAAGCTAGTAGAGCTTTGCCTAATGCATTTTGCATGCCTATTATACGTAAGCAACATAATTGAAATTAGACATCCGATCAGTGTCATTCTTATGGAGTGCACGGGGTACACTTGCAACCTCCTGATATTATATTGTAACAGGTATAAAAAAAGGCATTTTTTTAACTAATTAAATTCTTGCTGGAATTTGCTTATAAAATATTTTAAGATTTTAAAATAAAAATTAATTAACAATATTTAGCTATTATCACAATTAAAAGATAAAACTAATAAAACTTACAGCTTACAACTCTAATATCATTATTAATCGCCTAAAACTTTTATCTTCTTAGTATTTATATAGAATCGATTAAATCGTTAGTATTGTTAGTCCTTGATATATTGTGTTAATTACATTATAATAAGACCTGTTATTTTTATGCCCTAAAAATTTTAATTAATGCACTGCTAAAACAATGCATTTTTATTTTTAATAAATTTGTCATAAATTTTGGTATATCTTTTTTTTTTTCTGTTTGAACCGACGGCGCCGCGGGGACTGCTTTCGTATTACTTCCGCAACGCCGCCATTTGGTATATCTAAATGATAATAAACATTTTAAAGGATAGCAAAAAAAGTGTAACAGAAAAAACTAATTGTTTAATCTAGAAAAACCTGTATTTACATAAGTTAAACAATTTTTTTTATATAGGTTTAGATTATAATATATTTATTTACCTATAGGTACATAGTTAAGTTTAATCAATTTATATAAAAGTGCAATTTTGGATTCTTAAACTTAAAAAATACTTCTACATTTAAAATTGTCAATAAATAAAAATTACTTTTTATTATCCAAAAATACATGAAACGTATATATTATAAATTGAGCATATCTTGGTTTAATTTGAAAAGCAGTTCAAAGTGCTTTGAAATTGCAGCCAAATTATTATTAATAATTATGAATTTTTTACTAATTTAATAGGTACGCTTGCACAGACTAACAATATTGTCAGTGCATTGGAACATAAAGTTGAACCCCAAAGGCATAGAGGTACTAGACAATTTTAGAAAAAAAAAAGAAATAAGAATGACGAATTTAACATTATGAATAGTACATTTAATTTAATTGTTTACCTACTTTAGTATCTTTAAAATCCATTTATATCATTTAATTTGTAATACTAAGTTAATATAATATGATTTATGAAATTGAACGAACAAAATACCATGGCCACTATTACAGTTATAAAAACACATACCTATCCCGCCCCAGAACCAATTCAGAATTATACCACTGCCTCTAACTCAGCCTAATTTTAAGCGAGTTTCATGCTTGTGGTGTTTGTTATGCTAGTTTGAACTTTTAGGTAGTTATAAAAAATTGTCTCATTATTGATAAAGAAAATGTTTGACTACTGTTTGAAAATGTTCAATAACTGTGTCACTGTTACTAGATGATGTAGCTTGGTTTTTAGCCTGTTATTTATTGATACACATACAATTTAAAGTTAGAATGTATTTATCTAAGTTTTATTTAAATAACATTTCTTTTTGGTATAAATATATTGTATTTTTATATGCAATTAATATTTATATGCATTTTTTTATCAATTATTTAAAATATTATATGGTTTATGTTGAGCAAATTTTATATTAATCTAATGAAATATAAAAGGCAAAGTATACTGTTGCCGGGACTGTAACTAATTATAAAATAATAATCTTGAGTACCATAAAACAGTTATAAAACACTGTTGTTTACATATTAACAGAAATTAATAATAATAATAACTATTAAATATTTATAATAAATTTGAACACATTTTATTTTCTTAAAAAAATAGGCAATAAGTAACATTAAAAACATAACAAATTATAATGTCTTATAATATGTAGTAATGTGTAGTTCTTTTAAAGCACTATATTGTGCATTTGTTTCTTCCTATCTGGAATATGGTGTACTGATCAGAAATCCTCTTACTTTACATCAGTGTTTCTTAACCTGTGTTCCGCGGAACCCTAGGGTTCCGCAATTCTCACTTAGGGGTTCTACAAAAGCACTTTATCTACATTACCTATCATATATACTTTTTATAGATAATTTTCATAGGGGTTCGGCATAAAAACAATATATTAATTGTTTGGTGTTCCGTAATATCAAAAAGGTTAAGAAACACTGCTTTACATGACTCTTACCAGCTTGAACGTGTTCAAATTACGTTTTTAAAGTATGCATCCTTTGTTCTGAATATTACACTTCGCACAATTACACACCGATATTAAAAAGATTAACTTTAGATACATTGAGTAACAGAAGAATCAATGCCAATTTAGTTTTCTTATCCAAACTCATAAGCAGGGAGAGTGATGCTCCTTATCTATTGGCTATGGTCAATATTAATAGTTCCAAGTGCTAATTTGCTTAAATTTTTTCCATTTCATATCCCAATGTATGCTACTAACTATTTATGCAACAGACTCGTCTTGTGAATGATGCCGTTAGCCAATGAGGCCCATAATGACTCCTAAACTATTTTTAATGCCTTTACTAATTTTTCTTTTTTATCCTTATTATTGAAAATAACAGGAATATTAATGTTTGAATCATTGTATATTTTGATGTGATATTGACAGACTTCTTCCTTTATTAAGTCAACATTGGCGAAGTTAGCCAATTTTGATTTTACATCAATTAGAGATTATATAAATAGAACACATAACATATTTTATTTAAATATTAAAAATGTGAGGGTGCTGTATAATCTTATTAAGAAGACCAATTTAATTTTATCTTTAGCTTATTCTCAAAGGACACCAATGATATCGCATATTACGCAACAACGTATAACAGATATTGGCGATACGACTGAATTGACATGCACAGTTTTATATGCTTCTGATTTCAATATTTTGTGGACTAAGATTGACAAAGAAAGATCTACTGATCCTGTTACGTTTTCATCTGGAAGTACACTTATCATCAGGGATTCAAGATTATCATTGAGATATGATATGCATAGCAATAGTTACTCATTACAGGTATCTATATATATTTAGACATAATATGATAATTGACATTTTTTTACCAGCAATAATTTTTATTTTCAGATTATTGAAATCCAAGAAACTGATGCCGGTTTCTATCGCTGTGATGTCAATCTTGGGATGAACAACAAATTATCAGCTGAAACCGAGTTAGTAGTACGGAGGCGCCCATTTATTTCTGACAACTCAACTAGATCGTTGATTGTAAACGAAGGTCAACCAGTAAAACTAGAATGCTATGCTGGTGGATACCCTAGTCCAAAAGTTTCCTGGAGGCGAGCAAACAATGCAATTCTATTTAATAATATTTCAATATATCGGTACCAAATATAATTTAATAAAATAATTATAAAAATCAAACATTCATGTTCATTTAATCTTCTAGAGGAAACATTTTAAAAATTGATTCTATTACAAAAGAGGATCGAGGAACGTATTTCTGTGTTGCTGAAAATGGTGTTGGTAAAGGTGCTAGGCGTAATATTGCCATAGAGGTCGAATTTGCTCCAGTCATAACAATTCCTAAACGTCACTTGGGACAAGCTTTACAGTATGACATGGATCTCGAGTGCCATGTTGAGGCATATCCTCCACCAGCTATAATTTGGTTAAATAATGGAGTACAACTAACCAATAATCAACATTACAGGTATACTGTTGTATCATGACTATTTTTTATTAATTTTTTTACTAATGATTTATATTTAATTATTGATGTTTTCGAGTTCATGTATAACAATATTATATTTTTTTTTATTACTCACTAGATCAGGGATTCTCAAACTGTGGTAGTACCCTTGGGGGTAGGAGTCTGGCCAACAAACCAATAAGGAAAAAATTCTTTATAGTCTTTAAATTATTTTATATATATTTTAGTTTAGTAACTAAGAAGGGGGTACTCAAAAAAATGTATTCATAAAAAGGGATACAATGTTTATAAGAGTTTGAGAATCCCTGCACTAGATATACACTTTTTTAGATACACAGTTTTCTTTATGTTATATAATTAATATGTCTAATAATTGTACTCGTGTTTATATAATAACTCCTGGGCCTCCACACAAGAATACTTAGCACTGCCCAGTATTCTTTTTTTTAAGAAATAAAGTAATACAAATAATTATAATAAAATTTGAGGACTCTAAAACGTTTCAATGATCCAAATGATCTAATGAAATTTTAAGTGGTTTTTCCTTAATTTTCAGAATATCACATTTTGCTACCACAGATGAAACAACAGATACTACAATACGAATCATCACAATTGAAAACCGTCAGTACGGAGATTATGTCTGCAAAGCATCAAATGTATTAGGAACTACTGAAGTCACAGTTACTCTTTATGGTAAATATTGTTTCCATTAATATGTGTGCTTATGACAGCCCATAACAATCAATATTGACAATGTTATTGACCAGATTTATATGTGCTTAAAATCTTAAAACTAAGATGTTTTTATGCTTTATAATTTCATTAAAATAATCTTTTATAATAAGCATAAATATTCTTTTTCATAGATATGTATTAAATATTGAAAAATGAAATTAAAGTAACAGTTTATAATAATTATAAGATAGTTTAAGTTAAATTAACCCTAATGTTTAAAAAAAAATTCAAACAGTCATATTGATTAGGCATATTTGGTTGTAGCTCGCCCTGTCACATTTCGACTTCTCTTGAAACCAGACTCAATTTTCTCGATGCTCAACCCGAGTCTGCATCCATAGTCGTTCCTCTCCAATTGAGTATCTTATCAATAATATGTTTGCATTTATTTATTAACCCTTACATTTTTATAAAATATTCAAATTAAACCCCAATAGGTCAATATATTTCTAAAACATTTTTCACAAAATATTCTTTAACTTTGAAATATGCTTTCTTATGCGCTGAAAAATGTTGTACATCAGTTCATAGAAAAATTAATCGTTGAGATTATCCAATTTGAGCTGCATACACTCAGTAAAAATATTTAAAAACATAAAAATCTGGTGTCTATAGTCAGTCTCATGAGAGAAAGGTACTATTCCGTTCATGGCACATGCAGACTGAATTCCTCACTAATGCCGAACCATCAAACAATCTGATCTAATACTATTCAATAATTTCCAAACCTGCTATATATTTTTTTATGTCTAGCACAATAGAAGTTTAACTTTTTATGGTAAGAGATATGTAGATCAAATCCTCCTATATTTGCAGAGTACACATTTATATTTATTTTATATTTATTTTCATCAACTTACTTTATTAACTATTTATATTTGTTTATTTTACAGAAACTATCATACCAGTGTGCCCGCCAGCCTGTGGCGAACTATCATCATTGCACTTAAAAAACTCCTCTATCAAAATGACTAGTGCTTATGTTCCTTTCTTGATTGCTATTTATTTATTTTTTGTGTACTCCAACTTTTAAATTATCATACCATTTATAAAAAAATGTATTAATGAGTTACGAACATTATTTTTCCTCTAATTTTCCATACATATATTTTGTTACCATTTTTGATTTTAGATTATACAAATGTCCAAAATGTATTTTATACAACTGTTATTTGTGCTTTTATTAAATTAAATTTCTTAGTATTAAAAAATTAAATCAAAATGTTAAGCATCAAGACTGCAGTTCTAAATATTATATGTAGGTTGGAAACCCTGTAGATAAATATTACTTACTATTTGTATATATGACTATGCACTATGAATATAATATTATACTTTAATGCTTATATTTTCTGAATTTTGTCTATTGTAATATATGCCAAAAAAATATCATAGAATAATGTTAAAAAAAAATTGTTTTTATCAGTTTTGTGTATTTTATTGAATGGTGTTACAACTCTGGTGTTATGAGTTACAATATAATACAACTAAAATAATTCACATTGCAGAATCTGTACTAAGTGTGTACAAGATATATTTTTTTGGTATTTATTGAAACGGATTTTCTAATATTATTTTATTCAAATCTAAAATATTCGACTACTAGATGCTTGTAAAGTTCCTCAGAACGCTTGAGTGACCTCTAGTGACGATTTTTTTTACTCAAAATACTAAGTTGACGTAATTTACACTGACTTCTTAAAAGTATTCTATACAATCGACCACGGTACCTTGATTTTCTTTCTAGATAGACTCCGAGTTGGTGATCCACTCTTACTTGGTTAAAAGCTTAATTGAGCGATTGTAGGCAGTTCGTTAATCTCTTCGGTAAATCCTCCAAACTGTTTTAAGTCCTTACTGGTATTCCTCAAGGTAGCCACTTAGGTCCCCTTTTTTAAAAATATTTTCATAAACACCGTTTGCCTCACTAATTACTCCATGTCGTATTTTACTGTTTCCTGATGCCATCATTTTCTATTCTATTTCATCTCTTGATGACTGTACATTTCTCCAGAATTCTTTAACAAAATTTGCTAAATGATGTAATTCGGCTAATCATTAATATCAATAAATATAAAGCAGCGGTTCTCACACTTTTTGGTTCACGGGACACGGAGCACTCATGTTCCTAAAAAAAAATTACGGAGCCCCCAAAATTCAGAAATGTCTATTTGAGACAACAATAATTCATAGAAAATGATGTTGTTTATAAACAAATATGTGGATTTATAAATAGTTTACAGTTTTAAACTTTAAAATAATACATATTGGTACGGTCCAAATAATATTGAATACAAGTATAAAAATTAAAAATGTAACTAAGAAATATAATAATAATTTAATAATTTGAATTTAATTAATACAGATGATATATGGGAGCCACGGAGCCCCTAGATTACTATCGCGGAGCCCCAGGGCTCCACGGAACACAGTTTGAGAACCGCTGATATAAAGTATACATTTCATCGCACCAGAGATTTTATTGAGTTTGATTCTTGTTTTCAAATTCTGAAGATCTAATAATATCTTCTATTTCAATAAATGGTGTTAATAATGGTTCAGGAGAAAGTAACCATGTTAAATCAATACTATGACTTGGTTGATTAAATGTAGAAAATACATTAGTTTTTATATTGCTACAGGGCTGCTACCAAGTCACTTTTTGTCACTTTTATCACTTTTTTGAAATACTGTCACCTTTTGTCACTTTTTTTGCTTTTTCATAAAAATAGTCACTTATTGTCACTATTTTGTGTAACAATAGGAGATATATTTTTTTTTAATCTAGATATTCAAATTAACAAAGTTGAATACAAAAAAATCATAAAAATTGTTTTGAAAATATCATATCATATATTCTGTTAACATCATAGATAATAAAGATTCTTTATTATCTATGGTTAACATGCCTAAATTTTATTTGTATGTTGTTAGCACTGGAAATAAGATTGTGCATGAACCATAGATAGCAGAACAAAACTAATAATAGAATATTAAATTAATATACTATGAATATGATTGTAATATTATTAATTAATATAATAGTCATATTTGTTATTATCTATTATCACTATTTTTTGTATAGTTAGCCTAGCATAAAATACGTTTTATTTTATTACGGTTTACTGGTTTAGTGTTTAACTTTCACTTGTAAGTTGTAATTTGAACTCAAAGGTTATAAAACTAAAATCTCCAGTAAAATGGGAAAGTGTACTGTGAATAAAGTGTGGTTTGAAAAAACTGATAGTCATGGTTACAAGATATCAGAATGGGCTAAGGAAGTTGACAAAACACAAATATTTTGTATTGTTTGTGCAAACAATATCTAATGTGAAAAAAAAGGATATCAAGCCCTCTTGCAGCACTCCATGACTGACAAACACAAATATAATTGTAAAAGTAAGTTGAATTTAAAACAGTTACACCTTAGTCTAGTGTCAAAATCATCAAGCGCTACAACGACAGAATTTAATGAGTCAACAACTGTCAAGCCTTCTGGTAATCTGGAACTTGGTGTATACTGTAAGCAAGAAGATGCTACTAAAGCTGAACTTATGTGGACCATGAAGAGTGTATTGTGCAATATGTCAGGCAGTTCATGTGATGGACTAGTAGAATTATTTAAAGCTATGTTTCCAAATGCAGTTCCTGATAAATTTAGTCTAAGTCGCTCAAAGATGTCTTACCTAATTACTGATGCTTTAGGTCCTCATTTCAGACAGATTGTTTTAGATGGAATTCAAAACCTTTCAACATACTATACGCTTATGTACGATGAAACCACCAACTCTGAAAGTAAAAAAGAGTTACAAGTTGCAGTACGTTATTGGTGTAACACAAAGAAAGAGATTGTTGTAAGCCATTTAGAAACTTTTTTTATTGCTTCTGCCACAGCGGTAAAGATTGAAGAATATTTGATGTTGGCATTAGACAATGCAGACCTTCCCAAAGAAAAGTTACTAATGTTAGGCTCAGATGGACCAAACGTTAATAAAAAAGTGTTTCGACTTGTAAATGAAGGAATAAAATCTATTAGAGGTCATGGACTAATTGATATTGGTTCATGCAATATCCATATAGTACACAATGCTTTTCTTAAAGGTCTTGACAGTTATGGATCCGATGTATCAGAATTTGTTATACTTGTTTATTATTTTTTTAAAGGGTGGCCCAAGCGATGGGAAGATTATTCAGTCATTCAGACTGAAAAAGGAATTCCAGCCCACCGATTTATAAAACACTGTTCTTCGCGTTGGCTTACATTAGGTGCAGCAGCTGAAAGAATATTAGAACAATGGGAAGCATTAATGCATTACTTTAAAATATTTGTACCCAAACATAGAAATGAAATCTTAAGAACTCCAAAATTTTTAAAAATATCTTCATTTATAAAACTAGTCGAATTAAAACCGGAAATTATTTTTGTTGTAAATAGCGCAAAAATGTTTCAACAGTTCACATTGACATTTCAGCGTCAAGAACCTTTGATACATGTAATGTACGATGAACTTTGGAAACTTTTAATTACTATTTGAGGAAAAGTTTGCAAAGAAACAGCATTAAGTACATGGAATAATAACGATTCACTATTTATAAATGAAAATCTAAAACCACTAAACTCAATTGAATTGCCTGATAATGTTTCAGAAATATTAGCAACTTTTGATGAAAAAAAAAAAATAATGTTTTTGAAGAATGTGCAGACTCATTACAAAGCAGCTGGTTGTCACATTTTAGAAAAAAGTTCTTTCAATCATGCAACTAAAATAAAATATTTTTCTTGTTTACAACCAAATGAACTGAAGGTGGATAGAAGTATAAGATACATAGTCAAAATTTCTGAATTTATGCCTTTTAAATTTGACTCTAGTTTATTAATTGATGAATGGAGATTGTTGAGATTAGAAAAAACAACTATTCCACTTAATAATCGCATTGATCACTACTGGAATAATATATTTGATATAAAAAATAATTTTGGTGATCAAAAATATCCTTTTATTACAAAAGTTGTAAAGGCAGCATTAACATTATCTCATGGCAGCGCTGATATAGAACGTCAATTTTCTGTGTCTGGTAATGTTTTGACTGAAGATAAAACTGCTATGTCTTGTCGCATGTTAAATGCTCGACTCAATATAAAACAAGGCATAAAAAATTTTCACAATCGACCTGATTTAGTGCCTATTGACAAGAAGCTTTTAATTGCTGCACAGTTAGCTAAGCAAAAGTATATGTCAATGCTAGAAAAGCAAAAAAAAAGAATTTGAAGAATCTAACAGGCAGAAATTGAAAGAAGAAGAAGAAGAAAATAAATGGAAAAAAAATCTTGAAGAGATAAATAATTGTGAAAAAAATATCATTAAATTGGAAGACCAGCTTAAGTCTGCACAAAAACATCAGGATCATCATAAAAAAGCAGCTGATAAATTGCTACATGATGCTAATGTTAGATTAAAAAAAGCGATTGAAAAAAATGATGTAGTTGAAATGAAAATAGCTCAGAGTATGGTCGAAACTGCTACTAAATTAAGGAATGAAGAACGTGAAAAAGAGACTGAAACAGTGTATATTCAAAAAAAAATTGAAAAAAGGAAGAATAACATAATAACGAAGTTGAACAAAAAGTCCAAGATGGATTGATAATAATTGTAAACATTTGTAATAAATTTGAATAAACATTAAAATGTTTTGTTAAAATATAAATAATGTTTCTTTTATTATTAATTGTAAGTCAATAAAATAACTAAGTTATAAGGTCAAGGAAGACTGATTAAATAATATAATATTAATTAATGACAACATAATGTAACTTGATTCATTAAAAGCAGGGACTTAGCTAGGTAGAAAAAAACTAGGTAGGTACCTATCAGAAACTTGTAATCAAAGTAATATATTGAAGTTGAACATACCATTTTAATTTATTTTAATCGTTCAATTTTAAATCTGGTATCCAATTAAGTGATAATATGATATTTTGTGAAAAAAATCTAGTCACTTTTTATAGAAAGAAAAATTAGTCACTTTTTTCCCAAAAAATGTCACTTTTCTCACTTTTTTAAATTTTAGTAACGGTAGCAGCCCTGTTGCTATCAAAAGTAGCTATAGCTCAGTAACTTTTTTTAATTTCGGTAACAAAATAAAGTGCATCAATTGGTTTTGTGGTCACAAAAGATGGATGAATTTTTTTTGACTAACTAAAACGTATATATTGCACTAGTTACTGAAATATTCTTAATTGCAAAAATGAAGTATGTTTCCATATGATGGCAAGGCACAAGCCCTTTTGGTAAGCACGTTTTAATGCCACCATTGTCAGAGAAATATATCAAAGTAAATTATAAAGAATTGCTAATATCGTAGGTTGTAGATGAGTAATAATAACTTTTAGTATTAATGATTAGTGCTAGCTACATTATTGTTAATACCTAGAAATTACCATTTACCAATATAGGCAAACGGCTATACTACCTAAATGTATACTAAACAGTAAACACAAATATTACATAAAGATTATTCATTAATTTACTTGCAGAGTATGGTTGATCCCTCGTACTAGCTTTAGCTACACATTTTAAATTATTATCCACAAAAATACATTCCTTCATAATATGCCCACTTGCATATGCATTTTCATCCATTTTGGCTAACTTCACTTCTTCTTTAAAAAATGCATCAACACAATGTGATTTAATACAACTAGAAGCAGCCACGATCACCATTAACAATCAACACACTACTAGTTAATAACACTAGTATTGTTATCTTAAAATGTAGTGTGCCGGATCAGCTGGTATTATATAAATCTTGTTCCATTCCCCACATGTTGCCTGAAATTTTTGAGAACAATAACCACCAGATCACTCAAGCGTTCTGAGGAAGTTTACAAGCATCTTGTAGTCAAATATTTTAGATTTGAATAAAATAATATCAGAAAATCCGTTTCAATAAATACCAATATATGTAGATATAGTTCGTTTTAGTTCTTCATAAGGATTTGAATTTGAAACCAGTCGTTTTAATTCACCTTGAATTTCCGAAATTGGTTGCTTGGTTTCATGTTCAATATCCGAAACATCTCCTTTTTACTGAGCTACATATGTGTTCATTAAAATCATCAAACCAATAATTGATTCAACGCGAGTTACAAAAAAATCATCTAAACGAACTGGTACAGTTTTGTGTTTAAAAACGATTGACTTCAAATTTTTAAACATACTTTCGGAGGAAGCACTTGTTGCTGTGAAGCTACCATATTCAAAAATAGGGACCATCACAGCAGACCAACAAGTTATAGGTTACCTTAAGTGCTTACGACGATCAGACAAATTGCTCTCATGTAAAATTGTTTGACTCTTGACGTGCAACTTTTTAACTCAAGCCATGTGCTAGTTAAATGTATCACATGATTACCTGCCAGCAACACCGTCGAACGCACGGTTGCCCTATTTTGGTTGCCTCTCACACAAAAATATTCGAGTCAAACCGATATTTCCTGAACACTAAATAATCTCTGCAACAAATATTCTAGTACAAAATAGCCAATCCACAGTTTAAATTACATTTTTTTTATTAAATATTAATAAATTATACCACATTACATCAGCTTTACAAATTAAATCAAAATACATCTCATCCTCCTCTTCTCAACGACACCTGTAGTCGTCAGACCACTGCATCAAGGGTGGCCAACAGGTCAGTAGCGATAAATTTGAGTCGATCGTAACTCCCTTTCGCATTTTCTTGAATTTTTTCAGAAAACAAATAAAATATTTATTTTTTGTAAATTTGTGTATCTTTGTATATTTCAACATTATAAAATTTATATATAGAAAAATACAATAAATCACTATGAAAAACGAGATTATACAATAATATCATCGAGTTACTATCGTATACCAACGGGGTACATACCACGTAATCTGATGGATATACCTCATTAATTCTTATTAATGGCCTTTATCGCGTTCGTATAAATTGATAAATCAAACCAGTCCGCAATGACATTAACAATAAATATATACATCAGGCACGCCCGGAGGGGGGGTGGCAGGTGGTGCAAATGCACCACCTGAGAATTTTAATAATTTGGATTTTTCAAATAAATAATAAAATATAAAAATTCCTTCTCTGTAAATTTTTAATTTATGCCCATGATTATTCCTAATATAGTAAATATTAAATACTTATTAGCTATTCTGGCATCTGGCTATTCTGAGATACCACCGTCTGCCGTATTTTAGTACTGTGTACAGTCACGTCTAACCACGCGTCTATTATTAATACATTTATTTTGGTCATTAATAATATTATTATGAATTTCGTTATCTGACATCTATTCTGTGGTACACTATTATATATATATATATATATATATATATGTATGTGTGTGTTATACATCTAAAATTCTATTTAATTTTTATATTTTATAAGAAGTAATAAATAAAATGAGTTATATTTTAAATATATTTTGTTATACCCATTATTGATGATAAATAATATATGTATTCGTAGTATCGCATTCATGACTCGTGTAGTGTGTGTGTGTTCATGTATTGTATGTATCAAGTGTGCGCATATAGAATTATTTTCCAATACAATCGTGTCAATATGAGCAAAAGATCAAAAACATATCACTTTAATGGAAAGTGGAAAACAGACTACTTTTTTACTATGGTGAATGAAAAATGTCGTTGTTTAATTTGCAATACTTCTGTTGCAATGCCGAAGAAAGGAAATGTAGAGAGGCATTTTAATACAATGCATAGCAAATACAAATCTGATTATCCGCTTAATTCCTCCGCGAGAAACAAAAAATTGCAAGAGCTGAAATGAGGCCTATTGCTCAGTGTAACATATTTTTAAAACCACACAATCAATCAAAATCCGCAACTAGTGCTTCCTTTATTGTAAGTCATAAAATAGCGGCAAAATATAAACCTTTTTCAGACGGTGAATTCATCAAAAGTATATTGGAAGAAATAGCAGATCCTTTGTTTGAAAATTTCAAGAATAAGGGAGGAATAAAAAAAAGCAATCCTTGATTTACAACTATCTCGAAACTGTAATGAGACGAATTGAAAAGTCGAGCCACAGCGTAACAGAGCAGTTACAAATCGATATTGATCGGTGTGTTACATTTTCCTTGCAAGTCGATAAAAGCACTGACGTATCTGACACAGCTCAACTACTTGTTTTCATAAGAATGTTAATGAATGATTTTACATCAAAAGAAGAATTGCTTTGCATGATTTCGTTAAAAGGAAAAACCAGAAGTTTTGATATTTTTAACAGTTTTAAGGAGAGAGTCGCTTAAATGAAATTGCCACTCTTCAGATTGGTGTCAATAACTTCCGATGGAGCAGCAGCAATGACAGGACGGCTGCACAGTTATTTCAAATTGACGAAGTAAACCTTGAGGATTAGATGATCAATATGCAATGCAACATCTCCTTAAAAGCTAGATCGTCAGAAAATAACTTTTGGTACTTGGTAAGCAAGGAAGAATTTAACAATTTAAGACGATATGCTGAGT